CCCTCCGGGGTCCCCCTGCGCCTCCCGTCCCCTGTCCGCGAGCCAGGGTGGAAGGAAGTCTGCCCGGCACGGAAGCCGCCCACGCCGGGAAGCGGACTCTGGGCGCTTCTCCTCGCGCGCCGCCGCCCCGGGCCGCCTGCGTGCGGCTCCTGCTGGCCCCCGGCTGATGGGCGCGCGAACGAAGCCCAGCGAAGGGCCGCTTTAAGCGCGGGCATCTGCTTCTTCCCGAGCCGTCCCGCCGGCGGCGGCAGCAAGCCCGCTTGCGTCGCTTTCTGTGCGGCTCTGAATGGATCCTAAGGCATCGACTCCGGGAAGGAAGCCGGCGTCGAGCGAGCGCCGAGTTCTCTAAAGGCCGCGGCAGAAGCTTCCCCAGCTCCGGCCCCGGCCAAGGGAGAAGGATGCTGTACCTACCGAAGTCGCTGGTGCAGTAGTGCTGCAGGCGCTGCGATTTCCCCCTCGGCAGGTCGCACTTCCCGCAGGGTCCTGCAGACCAGGAGAGAGACAGGGTCAGTGGGACCCGCTGGCTGCCTGCGGCAAGCCTTGGCCCTTCCTTCTGGGGTGGGGGCAGAACTACCTTCCTGGATTAAAGGCCGCACCCCATTGGGAAATCTGCGGGAGGGCTGGTGTGCTTTTCCAATGGCCTAGGCCCACCACTTTCTGGTCAAGCTGCCACCCCCCTGACTTCTGCAAGAGCAGGGGGCCTTTTAGGAGGGTGCACCCCAGGTGCTGATGATGCCAGCTGGTTTGGGGGGCCAGTTCCACCACACATTTGAGTGGCTCTCTGGAATGCAAAGTTCATAGCCAAGGGGTTGGCAAAATTGCTCCTGTCTGCTGGCATCTTGGTTTACTGAGGAGCACCTGAAAATGAAATGAGTAAAGATGGAACAAATCAACCCTGAGTTCTCACTGGAAGCAACAATGACCAGGCTCAAACTATCCTGCTTTGGACCCATTATGACTCTAATGCTGGGAAGGATGGAAGGAAAGAGAAGAAGACCAGCACCAAGGGGAATGGACTCAGTTACGGTGGCGATGGGGGCACCGTTGGAAGACCAGGAGGACCAAGTTAGGGACAGGTTGACCCAAAGAAGGTCTGCCACTAAGAGTCGTCAGCGACTTGACTCAGGCAAGAATCAGTCAAGGAGGTACCTGAAGATGAAGAGCCAATGTGATCTGATGGGTCAAGGGTCTATGCCTGAATTCAGGGGTACCTATGGCAAAGACTCTGCCATCCGGCAGTCTTGCCGGGCTCCCCATTCCTCATTGAGATAAACAGACCAGATCATGCCACGCAGGCCCCTGGATGTCTTTGTGAGAGTTTGGATGGAACTCTGGTGCCTTGGAGGGCAGGACCCAAGCCCCTGGGTTGGAACTACAGGGAAGTCGACTCAGGTTGGATGGGAGGAAGATGTTCCAGATGGGAAGAGCTGCCTGTCAGTGCAATAGGCTGTTCTCTCACTGGAGGTCTTCAAACAGAGGCTGGCCGGCCGGCCATCAGTGTGCAGTACTTCAGCAGGTCCTGCCCTGAGCAGGAAGTTGGACTAGGTGACCTCTGAGACACATGCAAACTAATAACTCTGTCTCCTCCTGACACGCTTGTATGGGCCAGGCCGGTTCCACTTGGAAGGGACCAGGCACACTGGAGAGCAGCCACGCGCAACAACTTTCTAGGTCAAAACCATGCTGGAGGGAGAAGCTTATGAGGAACCGAAGGAGACCCTGGGTGTGTTTAGCCCGGAGAGGAAGAGCCTGCAGGGAAGCGCGATACTCGGCATCAGGGATCTGAAGGGCTGCCCCATGGCAGAACCTTACAGAGTTGTTCCAGAAGACAGGACAAGAGACAGTGGGTATACATTGCAGGCAGGTTTTGGCTGGGCTTGAGGAAGAATTTTCTAAGAGTAGAGGTGTTCAACAATGGGACCAGCTGCCTCAGGAACTGGGGGATTAGAGAAGCTGAGTGGCCTTCTGTCGGGGTGCTGTAGAAGTGAATTTCTGCACTGGGCGGGGGTTGGACCAATGACCTCCAGGGTGACATCTGCCCTTAATTGCTGTGAGGGAAGAAGGGAGGCTTTGGGAAACCAGGGCTTGGCTTTCCCAGTCAGGGTCCCCAGTGCTGCTGATAGCAAGGCTCCATGACCCTGGAAGTGGCTCTCGGTGGGAATGGAAAAGCGATCCTCAGATGGCGCTGGAGCACGCTGGATGAGAGCAGAAGAGCCTCTGCCGCTGTCTTCTTCCTCTTCCTCTTCCTCTTCTTCTTCATCTTCCCTGAGAGCTAAAGATGCTACGCTTTTGAAATGAAGAGCAAAGGATTCTGTGGCATCAAAGTCCCACAAATGGCTGAAATGGAATATGACATTTCTTTGCCCTTTCTTGGCCATGCTAATTATTGGCAAGTCAATGAACTGTCTGTGCTTGCTGTGACAGAAACGTACTGGAAATGCAGGGTTGAAAGAGAAAGAATTCAGAGCTGGCGCGCCCATGACTCCCAGGGCATTGCTGGCAAGGAGACTTGAAATCAATTTAAAATGCTAAATGGGGCTCCAGCTCAGCTGTTGGAGAATAACTGGAGAGGCGGGACATCTGCTCCCTGTGGGTCCAGCCCTAGAGCAAGCAATCTGAAACAAAATGCTGTTGTCTGCAGGTTTGCCCCTGAATTTCGTATCCTGGGAGAGGGCTCTGCTGTGCCTGTCAGCTAAGGCCTATCAGCCTCGTAGGGAGATCTGCCTGCTCCCTCCTAACTCGCATCCATTATTAAAGACTTGGCACTCCGCTCCACTCCCGCCTGCCCCAGTAGTGCCTGCCCGCGGTGCCCCCTTTGAAGGAAGGCCTGATGTCACTCTTGGGAGCAGCATTTCCAGCTCTGTTTTTTCTGAGCCGCGTTTTAACAGAATAAAATAGCACTTGGGAAGTTGGGGTTGCTTTACTGAGTTAGAGGGTGGGTTGCTTGTGGGGCCAGCACTGGGGCACGGGACCAGCGGCTCTGCCCAGAAACCTGCAGTGCCTCCCCACCCACCGCTTCTGCTCCTAAGTCTGCTGGAGGAGCAGAGTCAGAAAGGGACGATCTGGAGAATTGGGGGCTCCCACCTGCTGCTGCTGCTGCTGCTGCCCCAGAGCTACCTGGCGCTGTAGAGGTCCTCAGCGGTGCTGGGGTGACCTCCTTCTGCGACCCCTCCTTGGCTACCTCCTGGGCCTTTGCGAAGCGGTGCGTTGCTGTGGTGGCTTCGGGGAAATCTGCAAGCTCTTCTGGGTGATGCGCCTCCACCTCTCTGGCCTGGGGCTGGCGCAGAGCATGGGCTCCCTCTTGTGCGCGGTCCCTTGGCACCCAGAACTGGTAATCTATGCCGAGGTTCTCCTCCTGAAAGAGGACCTGGCAATGGGGGTGGGGTGGGGGGAGTGAGCAGTCATACTTGCAAGTCCTCTCCAGCCTCCTGCCCTTGAAAAACGGCCACAGGTCCCATGCCACTTTCTTCCTTGCGTGCCCGTTTAAGGAAGCAGCGAGAGCCAAAGACTCATGCCGTGCGTGCCATTCCCCGTGTCTCTAGGGCGAGGCCCACGGACCAGACAATGGCCCGCCCCTGCTGTTGCTCCCTCCCTCCCAGCATTTAGCGTCCAGAGATGGCCTTCTCTTGCCAAAAACAGGCCCTTGTGATATGTCCAATTTGCTTTTTGCTAGGGGATCCCCACCCTCTCACCATGAGAAACAAGTCCTCGCTTGTGGGTCCAGCCGCCTCAAGGGTCTCATGCACACTGCCCGTGCGAGTGTAGTGCCATTTGGTGCCCGCCACCTCGTATGCGCCTGGCTGGTCAATGGCCCACTCCCCGTTGAGGACGTAGTGCTGGTCTGCATTCATCAGGGCTGCGGAGGGAGAGAGCACAGGAAGGGTTGCGGAGGGACGCGGGGCTCCAGAGAAGGAAAACGACAGAGCTGGGCCAGTGTGGAAGTTCAGTGCTTCTGTTTATTTTCCCATGTCATTGCTTCGTGAAGCAACCCTCTGGGCTGCTGTGTCACGGGCTGGGTTGGCACAGCGTGCAGACCCAGGTCAGCGGAAAACCAGGGGGGCTGCATCCCCACAACAGGCGGAACTTGTTTTGGGGCTCAGCTTGTTCCCTGCTGGCTCTTTGGGCCAGAATACGAGCGAAGGCCCGGCTGAAAACAGTGGGCTCCGTGGCTGCGCATGTGTGGCGTGGGTCCAGCGGTGGAGCGAAAAGGCAGGGAAGAAGAGAGGCTTGCCGGAATCCCAGAGGCAGAGGGAATGCCTCCGAGTGGCTTCCAGTTCGCCGTTCTCCTGCGCCATGATAGACAGAAGAGAGAGCAGAAAGAGTCCTAAGGCAGGGGCCAAATCTGGGGGGCTGCAGAAGGGAGCAGAGGCGATGGGGGAGGTGGTGCTTCCTCTGCTTTTGGGGGGGCCTGGGGGCATGCTGTGGACTCCATCAGCTGTGGTGCCCTCCAGTGATGGGCAGCCTTTCCCATGATATGGGCGGGAGAGGAGCAGCACGATGCCCCACCGTTCACTGGGATCGAGGTATCCAGAAGCAGGCTCTTCTCTTCTGAAGGGGGGCTGCATTTCGCCCCCGTGCCCACTAACCCTGGTAGACATCCTTGTCTGCTTTGTGACCCCCCCCCCTTTTCAAACTTCTGAGCAAGGAGCTGTCATGAGCTCACTCCCAGGAGAGGAGCGTGTAGCTTCTGTGCCGAGACCTGCTGTGGGCCTTGCTCCAGAAACTAAGCACAGCCAGGTCAAAGGGTTGAGTGGGGCCAGGGCAAAACAATAGAATAGTTCAGTGGCCTTTTAATGTGATGCCATTGTGTTAAGTCCATTAAATGCAGCTTTTTGATTAGTCCCATTCCTCTTCTAGCACGTTGAACATTATATGTGGGGGGCGGGGGGGGAGAGTGCCCGGGACTTGGGGCTTCAGGCTGTCATAGAATTAGGCAAAACGATCGCCTGGCAGAACTGCAGGCCTGTTGCCCCTTCCCCACTCCCTGCCCATCCTTCGCCTCCAAGGGCT